CCAAATAGCGAAGTCTTCTGGCTGACTGCAGGTCGTGGATTCGTGGTTTGCATTTTTATATGGACGACGGGTTTAGGGTTTCTAGATCAGTTACCTCGTCGTCGTCGAGCCTTGCAAATACGCCAGCTTCCTTTGTTGGCAAGAGATATGTTTTGGGCTTTAACCTCCGCCAAGCCCAGAGTAAGCAATCCAAACTATGAACCTCAAATAACCTTCTTTCTTCTTTTTTTAACATAAAAAATAGCCAAACTTTTCAAGTAATAAAAGACAAAATATTCGAAACCGGACTCATACCACTAAAAATATCAGTATTTAACGAGTTTTGCATTTGTGTTACGAAACTATCGACATGACAATTGTATACCAAATCCTCTCTTTCGTTAGTTGGATTGTTAAATTTAACTAGGAGACCAGTCAATGTCTAGTAAACACCTATCGACCGTGAAAATTTTAAGCACCCCAAAGCAGGGACGGAGCTAGGTAGGCTTGGGGGGGCTCCCAAGAATTTTGGAATTGCGTTCAAAATTTTGTAAAACTTGAACAAATTACGTATAAATTAAATAAAATGTTCAAAAATATTTAGTTTGCTACGTTGATACATTATGTCAATATGGTCCTGTGGTGAACTACTTAATTTCCCCCCAACTAATGTTGGTTCAAACTTTGCAGGAATTGAAAAATGATCATTTTTACACTTTTTTAAGATTGATTTGACCAAATATCATTTTAATCATTTATTTATTCAAACAATAATAAAATGAATATTCATTTTCTATTTATAAAAATATTGAAAATCTTGCTAAATATTAAAATGCATGATTAATTTTTTTATCTCGGCTTCTTTCTTTGTTTTAACGTATTATAGTAGTAATTATATTTCAGATTGATTCTATTATCCCAAATAATACCATTATAATAATCTTATTGCAATAGTAAACTTAATAACTCTCCCCGACCTTAATTTCTGGCTCCGCCCCTGAACACAAGATCCACAATCACAAACATCAAATAAACAAAGACTGCTAGGGTGCGAGGTTCGCTCTGTCAATCACAAATGAGAGTCAAAGAGGGGTGACTTTTGAATCCTCACTCTTCAACATATTATTTGAGATTTTTGGTGAATGATTGTTTGCAGTAGACAGTAACCGTGAATTAAGTTGTTTGAAATTGTGACTTTGGTTGGTTTTTAATCTTGAAACTTTTTTCCTTAGCCAAAAGTCTAAAACTATGTGGTTATGTGTGGGCTGAAGACACTCACGGCTCCCCTATGTTTCAATTATGGGAGAGATTGAAGAAGCTCCGTCACTTACTCTATGATTGGAGTAGAGCAGGGACTACGAACTCTCTAAGGAACATCAAGACCCTCCAAGCTGAAATTGATTGGGTGAAGCTTAGTCATCCGATAAACTGGGAGGAGGTCAGGGTCCTGGAAATTGAATTGAATCGGCAATGGGAAGCAGAGGAAGCCTATTGGCAACAAAAGTCCAGAGTCCACTGGCTCAAGAAGGGTGATAAGAATTCCTCTTACTTTCATACGGTGACCCGGGCACGTCGGAAACGTAATTTTGTGGCGGGTCTCTATAATGATGAGGGGGACTGGGTTACGGAGGACAAAGGAAAAGCTGACATTGCAACAGATTTCTATAAACACTTATTTACGCCTGAGTCCCAAGTTCATAACATGGAAGCCAGAATTGCCGCTCTCCCGATTGAGTGCAAGGTTTCTATGGCGATGAATGACTCCCTTACGGCGGAAGTACTTCCTGAGGAAATCCGTCGAATAGTTTTTTCTATGGGGTATAAACAGGCACCCGGCTCAGATGGGTTTACCGGAAAAATTTTTAAAGCTTTTTGGGATATAGTGGGGCCATCGAAGGTTGACGCAGTTCGTTCCTTCTTTAGGACGGGCAGGTTGCTCCGCAGCTTCAATCATACTTGGCTCACGCTGATTCCCAGGGTGGGTAACGTGGAAAATATGAAACAGCTTAGGCCCATTAGCCTCTGCCAGTTTGTGTATAAGATCATTACAAAAATTATGGCAGAAAGGCTGGCTCAATGTTTACCCCAAATTATCTCCGAATGACAAAATGCTTTTATCCGGGAACGGCACATTGTGGAGAACATTCTGATAGGCGACGAGTTAATGCATTTTTTGAAAATTAAAAAGCAGGGTAAGAAAGGGTACATGACTCTAAAGGTTGACATGGAAAAGGCCTATGACAGAGTCGAATGGCCTTTTCTCCTTGCAATTTTGTAAAAACTAGGCTTTAACTCGGTGTGGTGTGAATGGGTTCATGAATGTCTCCGGTCGTCCTCTTTCTCCGTTCTTATGAATGGCACCCCCTCTGGCTTCTTTGCCCCATCCCGGGGGCTAAGACAGTGAGATCCTCTTTCCCCTTTGCTTTTTGTTCTCTGCACGGGGGGCTTTGCGGCCCTCATCCGTCAGGCTATTGCTGAGGGCAAGCTGGAAGGGGTGAAGGTGGCTCCCCGGGTGCCTAGGATTTTGCATTTGTTCTTTGCAGATGATTCTTACTTGTTTCTTCGAGGCTCTCTCCAAGAATGTGAAAATTTGATTGAAGTTCTCAATACCTATGAGGAGCTCAGTGGCCAAAGGGTTAACCTGGAGAAGTCAGCGGTCTGTTTTAGTAAGAATGTTTCGCTGCCTGATCAGGAATTTCTTGCGGCAGTTTTGGGGGTTGGGGCGGTAGGGGTCCAGGACAAATATCTGGGTTTGCCTACGTTGATTGTGCAGTCGAAAATGGCCACTTTTCGGTTCCTCGAGGAGAAGCTCCTCAGCCGACTTCAGGGATGGAAGCAAAGGACCCTGTCTTGGGCAGCTAAGGAGACTTTGATCAAATCAGTCGCTTTAGCCTTACCGCTTCATGTGATGTCCTGCTTTAAATTGCCTCTATCCCTTTGTCGGCTCTTGGATAGGGATGTTGCCCGGTTTTGGTGGGGTGTGTAAGGTGGTCGATCGCGAATTAGATGGGTGTCCTGGCGTACGATGTGTACTAGTAAGCATGATGGTGGGATGGGTTTCCACAGGTTTGAGCACTTTAATCAGGCATTGTTAGCCAAATCTACAAGGGTAAATATTTCCCGTGTGGAGAGTTCCTAACAGCTACTGTCAGGTCTCGCCCTTCTTGGGGATGGCAGAGTATCCTTTATGGCCGTCAATTGCTTACTCAAGGCTTACGGTGGCAAATTGGAAATTGTCGGACTGCCCCTCTCCTTTCTGAGAGTTGCATCTCGCTTCTTCACCCCAAGGCCCCGACCTTTAATCCGCAGGTCTTACCGACTGGGGGGAACCCTAAGGTGGATGTTGTGATCTGTCAAGGGGAGGGCAAATGGAGTGATGAGCAGCTCAGTCGTTGGTTTGACCCCGCTACTTGTCGAGCAATTAAAACTATACCTCTTCCTCGTCAGGATATCGAGGATATGTTGGTTTGGCATGAAACACCTGATGATGTGTTTACAGTAAAGTCGGCCTACCATTTAGCGGTCTTGATTGATAAACAGGATGGCCGATGGAGGTCGAGTGCTTGCTGGATGGACAAACCAAGCTGGATTTGCTTATGGAGCGCCAATATTCAACCTAAGCTTAAGGTGTTTTTGTGGCAGGTGTTCCGTCGCATTCTCCCAACGGCTGAAGCTTTGATTGATAAGGATGTTGAGGTGTTGCCAAGATGTCCGGTGTGCTGGGCAGAGAAAGAGACGATGGAACATTTTTTTCTCGAATGCCCTGTAGCTCGTGCTCTTTGGGATCTATCAGGTCTTGAGTATCTGGGTCAAGGGGTGCCTCATCAAAATTTCCCTCTGTTCTCGAAGAATCTGATGGCCCTAACTAATCAGTCCAATTTGATTGTGGTGGTTGTGGCACTCCTTTGGCGGATTTGGCGATCCCGTAATTGGGTTGTTTTTTAGGGCAAGCAGTTTGGGATCCATGCGCTTATGCGACAGTTTCATCATCAGTTCCAGGAATGGATCGCTCTTCCGGTCGATAAAGGTCTGAGTACTGCTATGTTTGCTGGTCTAGCTGGACCTGTCAGTACGACTCATTCCATTGTTTGTATGTGGGATGGTGCGACGAGGGCTGGATCTCATTCGGCGGGTGGAATTGTGCTCAAGGATCTCGCAGGCATTGTCCTTATGGCTCGAGGCCTACAGTTCCCTGATACTGATGACCCTTTGGTGGCAGAATTGTTGGTTCTGCGTGAGGCTGTGAGGTGGTGTCTGGATTTGGGGTTTCTGGCGACTAGTTTCCAAGGAGATGCTCAGGTCATAATTGATAAGATCACTCGGCGTGATGCGAGGGACAGTCGGGTGGGGTCGGTGTTGGCGGAAATCATCGGGGTGTTTTTCACTTATCCTGCGCTTAATGTTCGATTTGTAGGTCGGAGTAGCAATAGGGTAGCCCATTTGGTGGCTAGAAAAGCCCTCAGTTAGTACCCGACTGCGTGTCGTTTCTTTGATTTTCATGCCTGGCTGAATTCCAGGATGTAGCGATCTTTTGCTCTTCATAATATAATGATTATCTTTTGTAAAAAAAAAATACTAAATACTAATAGGTGGTTATCAGTTTTCTTATCGATTAATCATTAACCAATTAGTGGCTAGTGATTAATCATTATACAAAATACAGCTAACCAAAACCAAATCAATAACAGTTATTGATTATTATTTAACCACTAACCAACGTTATCGATTAACCGTTTAGCAGTAGTCCAGTACCCCTCACACCATCACAATTTTCCTTGTTTCCCATTTTTTGCGAAAACCATCACGATTTTCCTTAAATAGCTTATAGCCCATACTTCATCATAAAATATTGAACAATAATGTTTTTCTCCCGTACGAGAGGCTTCCCTCAACTCAAACTTCGTCTCCTTATTGCTAGTCTCACTTCTCTTACAACACTAGTGCATAATTACGACATAACGGAAATTACATGCAATAATGATGCCGGCAAACTTCAATCAACACCAAGAAACCCAGAGAAATCAAGGGCTCAGCGTCGCGGCAGGCGCCGGCGAGGGTGCCGGAAACAATCTAGAGAAAAATTTGTCGGCGAGAATCTGATTGGCGGCGTCGGAAGGATGGAACGCGTCCCAGAAGACGTAGTCCGTCCGGTTGTTGCACATCTTGGAATTGGGCAGGCACAACCCTCCAACGCTCGTGTCCACATTGCAGCAGGACGTGTTGGAGATCTTGAACCCGTACGACGTCGGATCCTCGATGAGGTCCAAAACGTCGCCGTACGTGTCGGCGAACATGAGCTTGGCGCCCGGGAAACGGCCGTTGAGTGTGGAGATCAGTTTCTGGACCCGGGCGTTGAACTCCAGGACCCACTCGTTGACCCGGTTCAGGCATTGCCCTTTCTTGGACTTCACCCTTTGGGACGGGATGCAGCCCAGTGGGCCCAGCCCGTGAAACACTACCTTCCGCCCTCCCAGTTCGTACAGCCTCTGCAGATAAGGGAATGCAATGAACGCTGTTTAATTTTGAGACGTTACACGAAATATTTATCGGTAGATCGACTATTAGTCGACTCTGACTGAAAACGAAGCTGTCACATGATAAAATATTAAATTGGTGCAAAAGTAGAAATTAGCGACTGACTGAAATTTGTTTGTCAAGGGTAGAGGTTAAGAGGTTGAGAAATTCGTCATGGGTGTACTGTTGGCCATCCGCTAGAAATGGCTGCAAGAAATTGTTGACATAGTCGTTGCTTCCTGGCAGGAGTGTAAAAATGCAATTAGTCGAATTTCATTTAAGTCACTCCATCAAAAAGATTGGATTTTAGTTTTTTTTTTTTGGCTCGTTTGGGGAAGGTTTAGTTACCAATGCCAATGAAGTACAGGGCGAGATTCACCAGCTTGTTTGCAGCAGAATCACCAATTTTGGCGCTGATTGAATCCTTGGTCTGTCTGAAGCAATCTATCTGATCATTCAGTGTTAATCTCTGGACCTGAAAACATTATGCATAAATTAAGGCTAATTGACTGAGGGGTAAAAGAAAGAAAGTAATTAAAGGGACTATGAAATATGTACAAAATATTGGCCAGTTTCATTGAGGATTCCTGCTCCTCCAGATGCATAATTAACACCCTTGAGAAGTGCATCGTCATTCTTCGACAGAGACAGATACGGCGGTGGCGATTCGGTCCCGAGCTTCTGGGCTTCACAGAACAACCAGAGTAAGCAGTTGGAAATTTAAAGAAGAGATCGATCGATATTATGCATATAAATGTACGTATGGAGAGTATAATTTACAGATGATGTCACCAATGGTTCTGCCATTAGTGAACCGTCCAGTGGCCTGGCCGCCGGGGAAATCAACCCCGTACCAGGGGAAATCAGATCTAGCGAGAGAGTACTGCAGATGATTGTTGTTCCCAACTTCTGTTAACGAGTCCCCAAACACAAACGTCACGAGTTGCTGCTGCGATGGCGACGGCGATGGTGAGGATGTTGCAGCCATCACCACCATGGCACTACTGTTGCACCCTCTGGCTACAAAGTAAGAGTAGACAGTAATGAGAAGTGCTGCTGCAGCTGCTACATTAGTGGCCGCCATGTCTGTGTGTTTCTAGCTCTCTTGGTTTTCCTTTGAACGTAGGAATCTGATTGCATGTAGATTTATATAACAGTTTGCATGTATGGCCACTTCTCCAAGTTTGCACAAGTTAGGTGGTGAAATTCGAACCCATTTTGTACTAAAAGGGGGGAGAGACAGTGGGAAATTAAGGAACCGTCTGTCTGTCTTTGGATCCACTACTAAGTTGTGTCTTGTGGGTAATAATATTCAGGACAGGAGATGGCCAAACTCGGGACCTCACCAAGTGAAGACAGTTTCTTTTTTATAATTAAGTCAAAACAGTTGTTAGTTTGGCGAATTGGGTGAGTTTTACTTGTCAGCTTGAGCAACCTATCATTGCTATGGCCATTATATTTGTTCTGCTTTTTTTTTTTATATCATAAAAATATCTGGATGCTCTACTAATTGCTCATAACAGTGCTACAATCCGTCTCCAATAACGAAACTAAGGGGTCGTTTAGAAAACATGATTTATGATATGGATTTATTGAATCTAGAGATTTTTAAAAAAAACTTGTTTTTCTGCCACAATTAGCATATCTAGATTTAAGTTTTGGGATTTAAGATCTCTAAAAAATAGAGATATCAAATCTCTCTAAAAAGTAGAGATTTTAAATCAATAATTAATCGGAACAACTTTCCCAACATTATCCCTCTCTTCCTTTTATGATTATCCCGCCCTTTCCTTTCTTTTTTTCACACGTGCAGCCTTCCCTTCCTCTCTTCTATTTCAACCCAGAAAATATTTTGTCCACTCTCCTTCTCTGCCCAACGAGGAACTGTGTCAAGATTGCAGCTCGTCCCGCAGCCTGTCCCGCAACACATTTGCTCTCCTCTGCTAACAATTGTTCGTTGTGTGGAGGTATGTATTTCCTTCCTTTCATCTCTTTTATTTCGACACTTGTGATTGCCCTGTTGCTTTGATATCATGATTCATGATTCCTTATTGCTTTGGAATCTTAATGATATTATCCTTAATTTGGATCATATTTTGTTGCTGTGATTTTCGAACATAACAGCTTGATTCATTACCTACTGTTTACAGGAGATTTTCTTTTATTTCTTGTGCCTTGGCTGCATTTTCCCCCTCTATACATGTTTGATATTGTGTTTGTAGGTTGTATTCTGAATTTATGATATATGCAGCAACCAATGGTGAGTTGTTCAGCATGAGTGACGAAACAGAGAAGGTTGTTAAGTGAGGATGTTATGTGTTGCACCATGTGTTAGTTAGAAACTGAAATTGGGTTTTACTTTGATTTTGCCGCCTTCTTTGTTGAGGGCAAGTGAGTCATTTAACTGAAATTTAGATATTATATTTTTACTAATCATAATTACCAAACACTGAACTTATTAGAATCATATCCATACAATCTCAGGAGTTAAAATCTTAAGATTCATTAAAATCTCTAGATTCATACTCTCATTCTCCAAACGACCCCTAAGGGGTTGTTTGCTTTATGGATTTAAAAATGAGGGTTTTATAATTTAAAATTCAAGAATTTGAGATATTATAGATTTGTAACAATTCTTTATTTGTTGAGATGTTATATCATGGATTTAACGGTTTGGGATTTAGAACTTAAAATCCAAAATTATCATATTATCATTTTCTATTTGTTTGTCATGTTTATGATATATATACATTAAAGAAGGACAATACGTACTAATAAGCATAACGTTGCCACAAAGACAATGATAATAAACGGGAAAATTATGTATAATATCTAACGTAACATATATCGGTTACCAATTCTTTGTCCTCCTTTTCAAATCTAACATATAACAACATATATTAGAATCGAGAAACAAAGAATTACACGTTCGATGAAAATGTCAAAAGAAACTAGAACACAAGAAAGGGTATAAAAAATTAAACTCATGTTTGCACATTGATTGAATATTTATATTATTTCTTTGTTGTTAATTAATTGATTATTTATATAATGTACAATAGGTAAATGTGAGGGCAACCTTGGAATTGTAATTAAATGTTCATGAGTGTATATGGGTATAATACCATCATGAATTTATGACATGTTACAAATTCCACATCAATATGTGAGATTTACAAGTCCGTGGGGTCCAAGGATTTGGACCCTTAAAATCCAGGGGGCCCATAGATTTTGTAAATGTAAGCAAACGATGGATTTTCCTTAAATTCATGATAGAATGAATTGGATTTTTTCCACAAATACCTGTAGAAAGGAAAAAAAAAAATTCTAAAAATACCACTCATTTTTGAAAAAGTCCAAAAATACCACCTTTCTCAAAAATCGTTGGGTGGAGTTGTTTTATTGACCACATGGGGTCGGGGTGGTTTGGTTGCAGACCGTTGCCCCCTGCGGTTTGGTCCAAATTTTTTTTATCAATCCTAACCTAGATGGAAACTTCAAACGAATGTATCTTTGTGCTCGAATATCCGATCGTAGCGAATTTTTTTTGGTTCCGCATAAATTTTCGAGATCTTGCAAGCCGCAACCTGCAATTGGGGCCCGCCTTCGTCCCGAAAATGTTGTTTGCTACCCCGAACGAACTTTTTCATATTTTGTCAAACTTTGGACAACCATAACTTTGTGCTCCGCACTCCGAATGTCATGAATTTTTTTTTATTTCGCATAAGGACTACAATTTTTTATCATAGCCATGATTTTTGGAATGTACGTGGATTTGTGAAAAGTGAATGTAAAGTTATTGTCAAAACCCCGTATATCCAAAAATAATTCATGTTTCGAAAATTCCTTCCTTGTAAAAATTGTAGTACTTAAAAAGTTATGAGAAAGGAAAAAAAAATTGTGACAATCGGAGTGTGGAGCACAAAGTTATGGTCGTCCAAAGGTTGGCGAAATCGGAAAAAAACACGTTCGGGGTAGCGAACGACGTTTTTTCGGGACAAAGGTGAGACCGAAGGGCGGTTTCCGGCTTGCAATGCAAGATCTCGAAAAGTTATGTGGAATCAAAAAATATTTCGCTATGATCGGATACCCGAGCACAAAGATACGTTCGTTTGAAGTTTCCACCTACGCTGGATTAATCAAAGAAAAAAAATTTGGACCAAACCGCAAGGGGGCAAAAACACTCCCAACCCATGCAGTTTTTCAGCGAAAACCGCGAGGTGGGGTGGCGGTTTTTGGGATTTTTTGGAAATGTGGTATTTTTTATTTTATTTTATTTTTAGTGATTTTCTGGAAATATTCCAAATGGATTTGGGTACCAAATGCATAATCCAAATCCACGAAGAAAACGACCCCTAAGAAGATCGGTGGTCTCTCCACCCAACCTCTTGGAAATCCAAGTTACAAAATGTACGGGCTAAAAGATGGGGCACCTGGCTGCATTTTCTTTTGACAAAAATCCTAGCGATCTGACCAGCCAGCTAGGCTTCAGCCCAAATCTCTTCACATAAGCGACCCGATTCCAAGTGAGAATGAGACAACTCTTTAAGCTTAGTCACAGCCTCCAAACAATCTGATTCGATGATGGTGGGGAAGAATTTGTTCATTTCCACCAGACTCGCCGCAAATTTGATCACCTAGAGCTTAGCTATCTCTGGCGACCATTGACATCGATCTTGTCTCACCACCGTCAGCAAACACCTGCCCACTGAGTCGCACACCACAACCCAAAATACAGTTCCCTCCCAACCAAAGACAGACACGCGCATCAACATTAATCTTTAGCCACCCCTGTGACACTCATTCCCAGTGTTTATGTGACTTGAATCAGACTATCAGCCGCTGCGACATGGAGAAGTACTATAAATACTTCTCATACTCCTCTGTAATCTGTAATCTCCTCGATATAGTGAAACTGGCTCTCTCTCGCCCGTGGACTAGCTAACACATATCGTGTTAGTGAACCACGTAAATCGTGTGTATGTGTTTTTCGATTCTCGCTTTCGTATTCTTGCTTTGTCTATATTCCGACGATTTCCCGATCCGTAGCAGCGCGTTTATAACAAGTGGTATCAGAGCCGCGACTGGAAATCAGGCTAGGGTTTTCGATTCAGAAGAATGACGTCGGTGAACATGAAGATCGAAAAGTTCACGGGGAAGAACAGCTTCGCTATATGGCAGATCAAGATGCAGTCTTTATTAAAACAGCAAGGGCTGTGGGGGCCGTTGTCTGTGAAACAGAAGAAGGCAGCGGTCGATGATGATGAGTGGAATACCTTAGAGGAGAAGGCCCACTCGACCATCATGCTATCGTTGTCTGATGACGTCATCATTGAAGTCGCTGCTGAGAAGACTGCCGCGGGCTTGTGGTTGAAACTGGAGAGTCTGTATATGACGAAGTCTCTAACCAACAAGTTGCATCTCAAGCAACGGTTGTTCAGCTTGAGGATGCAAGAAGGTACGCCTTTGAGGGAACATCTCGAACAACTTAACTCTATTTTGCTGGATCTGCGTAATATAGATGTTCAAGTTGATGACGAGGATGCTGCCCTAATCATGCTGGTTTCTTTGCCGAGTTCATATGAGAATTTCGTTGATTCTTTTATTGCTGGTAAAGAAAGCGTGTCGTTGGAGGATGTCAGGTCTGCTCTTCATACGAGAGAGATCAGACATAAGGCGTCCGGATCTGGTACAAGTGGTGAGGCATCGGGTTTGGCTGTTACAGGTGGAAAGGGAAAGAAGAAATCTGGTAAAGGGAATTCGAGCAAGAATTCCAAGGGTCCCGGTCCACAGCCAGGTGATGCTTGTCACAACTGTAAGGAAGTGGGGCATTGGAAGTACAACTGTCCCAAGAGAAGAGGGCAACAGAAGAAACAAGGTTCAGTTGCCGTGGCAGAAGTGGACAACAGTTCTGAAGACGATCTCGCCTTGGCTGTAGATGAGAAGGCACATCGTGGTGATGTATGGTTTCTGGATACTGCAGCCTCATACCATATGTCTCCAAACAGGTAGGGGTGGCAATACGGTCCGGTCCGGTTAAATTGGCCCGAATTGATCCGGTCCAGTCCGGTCTTTTTGGAAATATGGGGACCAAAACTTGGATTGGGTACAGTCCGGTTTTGACCCAGTCCGGTCCCAATCCGGTTTTGACCTGTTTTGACCTGTTTTTACCCGTTTTGACCATGTTGCAAAAAATTCAGCAGCATATACCCATTTTCCTGGAATGTAAACAACCTGTTTGTAGCAAAAATCAAGCCAAATATGGTCCAATACAAAATCACAAGATTCACAACCATCATTGATGTCTATTACAAACTCAAAGTCCAATTCAAACTTCAAAATAAAAATAAAGTGCATCACAAGTTCACAAACAAAGTTTAGACATCAAACACCCAATTCACTCCAATCTAACAAATTCACCAAACCATTTCTACTCATCAGGTTCAAGAGAAATAAATGAAGCATTAGATCCACCTCCTTGATTTGTTCCACTCCTCGAGCCAAACACATCACTCCCTCCGACATTGCTCGTACTTGTACCTTCGTGTTCATTCACATGCTCACACCTTTCCACCTCATCCACCATAATAGCATTGTAAACTAAATGACATGGATAAAAAAAATATAATTGTTAGCAATAGCATTTATATGGCCAAAACTAAAAACTACAAAGTAATTTACTTACCATTCACGAAGTCTTCTTGATCCTCATAGTCATCATCTTCACCATCAAGATGCTCCACAAACTCACTAGAACTTGATCTAAGCCAATCTTGACTGCATATGAGAGCTTCCACAATCTTAGGATGCAAAGAGCTCCTAAATTCATCTAAAACACGCCCACTTGTGCTAAAAACGGACTCGGAAGGAACAGTTGACATAGGAACAGCAAACAGATCCTTTGCCATCTCACTCAAGATGGGATACCTCATAGCATTAGTCTTCCACCACTTCAACACATCAAACTCTTCTTCGGCATCATCATATTCGCGAGGGTGAACAAGATACTTCTCCAACTCACTCTTAGTATGACCAGCTTGAGGTTTTCCATAATCATCATCAGGATCATAATCATCATAAGATTCATCAGAATCACTACCTGACCTCGGTGAACTTGAAGTGGCAACTTGTACTCGACGTTTCGAAGGAGAAGAAGGAGCAGGGGGAGGCATCTTACTCTGATAATATTCAAACAACTTCTCAAGTTCATCATTCAACTCTTTCACCAAAACTTTTGCCCTATCATCTCCACACATCTTCTTGAAAATATGTTCCGGATAATTCATCTTATGCCTCGGATCAAACACCACAGCCATGTAAACCAACATGTTCAATCTGAAGTTGACACAATCCTTCTCCGACCAATATTTGTCAACTTTAGCCTTCATCTTCATACCCATCCTAACTATGTCATCATCTTTGCTATTCATCATTTTCTCAACATGATAGAATACCCTTCCAAACTCTCTCAAGAATCGATGAGAAGTCACAACAGAAGTAGTGGATGCAATCAAAGTCAAATCATGAAAGAATTTCAAATACTTCATCAAAACTTTTGCATTCTTCCAATCTTCATGTTGAGGGACACCAATTTCTTGATTCTTGTATCTCTTTGCCTTGAGCTCAGGCTTGTACTCCTTATCCTTCCTCTCAAGACTTGAGAATGCATCTTCAAACAACACAGCAGCTTCAAGCATGTAGTAGGTGGAATTCCACCTTGTAGGCACATCTAGACTCAACATCTTCTTGGATTCAATGTTGTGAAATTCCACACACTCCTTGAACTTTGCCAATCTAGATGGTGATGATCTAACCCATCTCACAGCCTCTCTCACCCTCCTTATTGACATGCCCATCTCTTCTAAACCATCGCTCACAATCAAATTCACTATATGAGCAATACACCGCATATGAAGGTACTTTCCACCAACTATATTAGTACCCCATTCTTCAAGTCGATCTCTCAAATGAAGAAGTGTCGTGTCATTTGCACTTGCATTGTCAACTGTGACGGTGAAAATATTTTTCAAACCCCAATGCTCCAAACAATCGGCTATTGCATCATTTAGATCAATCCCCTTATGACTTGTAATCTTGCAAAAACTTATCACCTTCTTGTACAACTTCCAATCCTTCCCAACAAAATGTGCAGTGATGCACATATAGTTGAAATTTTGACAAGAAGTCCAACTATCGGTAGTTATGGACACCCTTCCTCCACACTTGATCTTGAAGTAATCTCTCAACTTGCCCTTCTGTTCAAGAAACAATCTAAAACAATCTTCTCTAATACTTCTTCTGCTTGGAATCTTAAACATCGGACAAGCACGTGCCATGAAGCGCTTAAACCCTTCTTTCTCCACACTCCTAAAAGGCATTTCATCAAGAATTATCATTTCAACTAACCCAGCTCTGATAAATTCTTGATCAAATTTCCAAGTCCCCAAAACTCCTTGCCCTTCAACAGAAGTTGGATTGAGTTCTAGATTCAACTGCTTCCCCTTTTCTTTTTGTTTCTTTAAGCACCTTTGAGTATGCCTACCCAAAGAACTTGTACCATTTCCCGAGGGATCCCCAACCAGTGACTTTCCACAGTAATGACACCTTGCCTTCTTCTTGCCTTTAGCATCTTTGTAACAATCATAATGCTGCCATACAGGTGACCTTAACACATACTCCCTATTGGTCTTCTCCATTTCAGGTGTTGTTGTGGTGTTGGTAGCTGCTGGCCGTTCTTGTTCTTGAGTGGCAGCGGCTTGAACATTAACATTTCCACTATTATTCCCACTTTCAATAGCTGCCTTTGAAGCTTGTGGTTGTGGTCGCTTCTTACTAGGAAGAGGAGGCAAATTTCCACTTTCTCTTGATGCGGAACTCGCTTCTTACTACCCTGCACAACACAATTCAATCAATATCAGAAAATGCACTTTACTTCCTTCTCCATTGCAGAACAAACACTACATTCATCATAAAAATCTTACATCACAGCAAAACAATCAATATCGCGGTGGTTGTATGCTAAAAGTTTATATGAAGAAGGAAGAGATATTTGTTCCAATCTAATAAATGAATGAATGGAATCGGAAGACATAAAAATATCGGGTGGGTTTTATACAATTAGTTCGGTGTAACTTTGGAGGTCAAAGTAAACTTCATTCAGCGTCCGCCTACTCCACTCTCTCATTAATAAATTCTTCGTGCCATAATTGATGAGCCAAACACATTATCATTTCCCTCTTAATTACATTCTCTAATTATAAAATAAACTTCAATTATATTTTATTGACATTTCTAAAACCTTACATACGTAATCGTGATCATCACATCCACCTTGCCTACCTTTAAGGTCAAAATCTTTTTGTTTTTCAAACAGAGAAGGAAGAGAGAAAAAGAGAACCAAAGGAATGAATGAAATCGAACTAGAGGGTCAGAAGTACCCATTGGTTCTATAATCACAGGAGAAGAATCTCCTCGTAAAATAGGTAGTTTTTTCTACATCACAGCCTCCATATCCATTTCATTCTTCATTTTAACAGAAAGACAAGTACAATTCGTCAATTCCCCCTGCTAATTGCTAAAAAACAGCAAACAACAACAGCAAACAGTATATTGAATCATTGATCATCACCTAGCCCATGAGATTGTTAAATCAACAATAACTTACCCAGCTGCTGCTCCCTTCCATATTTCTGACTTTTGCAGCTGTTGCCGGCTGTGCTTGTAGACGAACGGACGGCGACGAGATGCAGGGTCGTCTTTTGGAGCTTTCTGGGTCGTCTTTTGGAATGGAGGGCGACGGCCGACGGGATGCTGGCTGGCTGGTCGTGCGGCGTCGTGGAGCTGATCGGAGGTGGTCGCGACGGGACGGAGTTGAGGGCAGAGGCTTCCTGGGTCGCGACGGGACGGAGTGGAGGCTTCAGGCTTGTAGCTGGGTCGCGACGTCACGTCGCAGAGAGGAGGGAGGCGACCAACAACGAGAGGAGGTCAGTCGCCGTCGCCGTCGCGATGGTCCGAGACTCCGTCGACGGCGCGATGGTCCGAGACTCCGATGGGGATGCCGCGAATCGCGATGGAAGGCAGAATTTGGGTTTACTCTCGAGGGAGAGGGAGGCGGCAGCAAAATAGAAATGAAGATTGAAGTCCTCTACCCAGCAACCCTACACTCTACAGGAACAAAAGCTCGCCTGGGCCGGGGTGAGTGGGCCGAGAGGCCATGGGTTGGCCTGTCCCTGGGCTGGGCTTATTCTGGGCCTCTAAATCTGTTTTGTAATTATCCGGTCTTCCGGTTTTTACACGGTTTTGACCCGGACTGGATTGGTCCGGGTTTTTTGCTAATTCTAAGACCAAAGACGGGATTGGATTGTTTTAAATTCGGTCCCGGTCTTAAAACGGTCCGGGTTTTACGGTCCGGTTTCCGGTTTTCAATCCGGTCCCGGTCCAAACTGCCAGCCCTACAAACAGGGATTGCTTCACAGCCTACGAGCAGATAGATGGTGGTAACGTGGTCATGGCTAATGGAGCTGTCTGCAAGGTTGTTGGAATCAGGTCCATAAAGGTTCGGACACATGATGATTCATTCTGTACCGTGAATGATGTCAGGCATGTTCCACGAATGACAAAGAACCTGATCTCCTTGAGTCTACTCGATAGCAAGGGTTTCAGCTTCAAAGGAAAAGGTGGAGTTGTGTATGTCTGCAAAGGTTCAAGGAAGGTGCTGAAGGGCGTGAAGCGTGGGACCTTGTATGCATTACAAGGGTCTGTGTTGTCTGGTTCTGCTGTAGTTGCATCGTCTCAGGTTCAACAGGAAGATATGACCACTCTCTGGCACATGAGACTGGGGCATATGAGTGAACGGGGGATGCAAGTTCTATCGAAGAGGGATCTTCTTTGCGGGCACAAGGTGCAGAATTTGGAATTCTGTGAGCATTGTGTGTTTGGGAAGCTACATCGCAGCAAGTTTCCCAAGAAGGGTATCCATCGGACGAAGGGGATACTGGATTACCTCCACTCCTACTGTTGGGGTCCTTCACGAGTTGAATCCATTGGAGGCAGCAGGTATTTTCTGTCTATTATTGATGATTATTCGAGATTTACTTGGATTTTCATGATGAAGCAGAAAAGTGAGGCTTTCACGAAGTTCAAGCAGTGGAAGACATTGGTGGAGAATCAGACCGGTAAGAAGATCAAGAAGCTGCGAACGGATAATGGTCTGGAGTTCTGCAATTCTGAGTTCAACGAATTCTGCAAGGATGAAGGGATTGCCCGTCATCGGACTGTTAGAGATACACCCCAGCAGAATGGCATTGCAGAAAGGATGAACCAGACATTGTTGGAGAGAGCATGGTGCATGCTCTCTAATGCTGGACTAGAGAGAAGATTCTGGGCAGAAGCAGTGAAACATGGCGTGCTTCCTGATCAACCGTGGACCTCACACAGGTATCGAGTTGAAGACTCCTTATGAGGTGTGGTATGGTAAGCCTGCTGATTACTCTTCACTGAAAGTTTTTGGGTGTCCTGTTTATTATCATGTGGATGAGGGTAAGCTGAACCCAAGGGCAAAGAAGGGTGTATTTGTGGGTTACGGAGATGGAGTTAAGGGATTTCGAGTCTGGTCACCTTCTGAGCATCGAGTTATACTAAGTAGAAATGTGATATTTGATGAGAAGTCTATGTTTAACCCCATGTTGAAGGTTACTATTGTTGAAGGTAGCAGGAATGTTGATAATCAGGTGGAGCTGCAAACTCTCAAAGAGAGTGAGTTTGAGCACCAAGGTGGAGAAGATCAACATAATGAGGATGTCTCTGCAGAGCCAGAAACTTCAGAGTCCAGTGCACGAGCTAAACAATCTATTGCTTCCGGTAGACCGAAGAGAGCGACTGCAGGAGTACCTCCACAGAGGTATGGCTTCGAGGACATGGTGGCGTATTCATTTCAGGTTGCTGAAGAAGTGGATGCAGGAGAGCCACAGTCCTATAGAGAAGCAGTTTCGGGTGGTGAAGCTGATCAGTGGCTTGCCGCAATGGGAGATGAGATGGAATCCCATGACAGGAATCAGACTTGGGAGCTAGTCAAACGACCACAGGGAAGGAAGATTGTTACAAACAAGTGGATATACAAGAAGAAGGAAGAAATCACTTCTAAAGAGGGCATGAAATTTAAAGCTCGGGTGGTTGCACGAGGCTTCTCGCAGAGGGAAGGAGTTGACTACAATGAGATTTTCTCACCAGTGGTAAGACATACTTCGATCAGAGTGCTACTAGCAATAGTGGCACATTATGACTTGGAGCTCGAGCAGCTAGACGTGAAGACAGCTTTCCTGCATGGAGAGTTGGAAGAAGAAATTTACATGACTCAGCCAGAAGGATTCGAGGTTTCGGGAAAAGAAGACTATGTTTGTAAGCTGAAGAAGTCCTTGTATGGGCTTAAGCAGTCTCCGAGGCAGTGGTACAAGAGATTTGACAGTTACATGCTTGAGCTGGGCTACAGCAGAAGTCCATATGATTGTTGCGTGTATCACAGCAAGGTAGAGGATGGTTCGATGATATATCTAGTTCTGTATGTGGATGATATGCTCATAGCTGCGAGGTCAAAGTCTGATATCCAGAAGTTAAAGGGGCTTCTCAGTGCTGAGTTTGAGATAAAGGATTTGGGAGCTGCTCAGAAGATCTTGGGTATGGAGATTTATAGGGACAGGTCGAATAAAAAGCTTTTCTTGTCACAGAAGAGCTACATCCAGAAGATACTGTCGAGGTTTGGCATGTCTTCAGCAAAGCCCTTAAATACTCCTAGTGCTTCAAATGTTCATCTATCCTCAGCTTATGCACCGCAGTCAGAGGGTGAGAAGGAGTACATGTCGAGAGTCCCATATGCTAGTGCAGTAGGTAGCTTGATGTACGCTATGGTATGCACTAGACCTGATCTTGCACATGCTGTTAGTGTTGTCAGCAGGTTTATGATACAACCTGGGAAGGAGCATTGGCATGCAGTGAAGAGGATCTTCCGGTACCTTAAGGGTACACCTGATGTGGGGATTAGCTTCGGAAGTGATACAGAGTGCTTGGTGTCTGGGTATTCTGGCTCGGACTATGCTGGAGATGTTGACACGAGGAGATCGATGACCGGTTATGTATTCACTCTTGGGAGTTCTGTAGTGAGCTGGAAGGCAACTCTGCAGTCGGCGGTGACATTGTCTACTACTGAGGTAGAGTATATGGCGTTGACAGAAGCTGCTAAGGAGGGAATATGGTTGAAGGGACTGGTTGGTGATCTGGGTCTACATCATGATCAGGCAGTGGTGTATTGCGACAGTTTGAGTGCAATATGCTTTGCCAAGGATCAAGTCCACCATGAGAGGACTAAGCACATCGATGTGAGGTATCATTTCTTGAGGACAGAGAAGAGGATTAAGGTGAAGAAGGTTGGCACCGCGGATAATCCTGCTGATATGTTCATGAAGCCGGTTCCACATGGCAAGTTCCAACACTGCTTGGACTTGCTGAATGTCTTGAGTGGGTGACTCCGCCCTACGGGGCATTGATGGCGGGAGAGAGATAGAAGGAGCAGAGTACATCAGAGATTTCAGCGGAAGAGGATTCAAGTCAAGGTGGAGATTTGTTGATGTGACTTGAATCAGACTATCAGCCGCTACGACTGGTAATCGGGGGTCTCGCTGTTATTTGGGCTCGATGTTATTTGGGTTCGGGTTCTGGGCCTGGTCTGTAACCGTTTCCTTTGCCAGATTGGATTAGGTTTAGACCCACATGGAGAAGTACTATAAATACTTCTCATACTCCTCTGTAATCTGTAATCTCCTCGATATAGTGAAACTGGCTCTCTCTCGCCCGTGGACTAGCTAACACACATCGTGTTAGTGAACCACGTAAATCGTGTGTCTGTGTTTTTCGATTCTCGCTTTCGTATTCTTGCTTTGTCTATTCCGACAATTTCCCGATCCGTAGCAGCGCGTTTATAACACCCAGGTTAGATTTCGTCGACTTGTCGCCATTTCCTCTTTTTTGTTTTGTTTAAGTTGCGTGTATTCCTCCCAGTAGGTGATAGCCTACCCGACGATTATCCACTTCTCTACTTTCTTCTTGTTGAATAAATTATTGTTCCTTTCGTTCCATAAATTATAGAGTATCATCGTTAATTTCGATAGGGTTTCTCCTTCTCTTCTTCCATTATTTCACAGAACCATGTTTTGCTCGAAAGATTTGTGTCCCTTTCAAAAAGATAGTGAAACGCACTAGGGTTTCAATCTCATCGTGCCCAAGCACACTGTCGAAAGATATGTTCTTAGGTTTCTTCCAGAGTGCAAACAGACAATTCCACTATTGCACCCTTCTACCTTGATTCAATATTTTTAATAGGTAGAATATTATGTAGGAAACGTTGGAGGACCTTAGGTGGTACCGCTAAAGATAATATTTTCTTTCATTCACCGGATCAAACATCTCCCCTACTTTCTCATTCATATCTTCCTCCACCTCTTTCCTTCTCTGTGCGAGATAGGCATACTTTGATGTGTAGGCTCCTTTCTCTCAAAACACAAAACTTGCCTACCACTAGCAGGTACTCTAGGAAGAGGAATACTCAAAATCGTTTCTCTATCTAAAGTGTGCCTATAAAATGTTAGTCCTCCAGACCTAATTCACATTATCTATGATGTTAGAAACTCTAAACACAATGCCCAATATGAGTATGGAGATATAACTAGATAGTTGTTATCCTCAACATCTAGAATCCACTTGTCTCTTCATACTTCCAACTGAGTTTCATTACCAATCCTCATGCGAGTCCCATGTCTTACCAGGTCCTGGTCTGCCATCAAGCTCCTCCAAACATAAGTGGGGTTGTAGCCTTCTATTACGTGCAAGAAATCAGTATTAGGGAAGTACTTAGCCTTTAACACTCGAACTACTAGGAATTTTGGATTTTGAATGAGATTCCAGAGCTTTTTTCCTAGTAGAACAAGGTTAAAAGTGTTAGGTCTCTGAATCCAATCTCCTATGATTTAGACTCTCGCTTGCTCTTCCCAGCCTTCTAAGTGATCCTCTTTTCCTTTTTCTTATGCACCCATTAGAAACTCACTATCACACTTCTTATTTCATTCCTAACACCATCAGGTACTAAGAAAACCAACATAGTATAGGTTGCTTGTGATTGTGTTACTGCTTTGATGAGTATCTCATTCGCAACCATTAACAAAGTCTGGCTCTTCCTGACTTCATCCACTAACACTCTAAGAACTGATTTCTTCTTCTTGCCAATTGGCAATTACAGAACTACAGTATGCAAACCCAAATACTTTGCATAGTTGCCATTTGTTTCAAGCCCAAGCCCAATATACCTTCCAAAGTTGCTCTTTGCCTAGTATCAACATTAAGGACAACTATTATTTCTGTAGATTCACCCTTCCCCATTACTACACATAGGTCTTTAGGCTATCTCGTAGTTGTGCACACTCAATGAGGTTCGCCCTTGTGAAGAAAATGTTCATCTGCAAAAAACAAAAACAAAAAGAAATTAATTATCAACCATCTTCTTGAGACTTGGAATCCATGTAGCTAGCCCTCCTCCACGGTCCTCCTCGTTATTGCTGACAATCATTATACACACAAAAGAAACAAATAAGGTGTAATAGGGTCTATTTGTCTCAGTCCTCGCTTTGGTTCCAACCCATGGGATTGGTGGCCATTAACTAGGACTGAGAAAGAGACTATTGTAATGTTGTGCTTGGTCAGGTTCACCCTTCATTCTGCAAATCCCAGTTTGATCATCATTGACCTTAACAAATCCCAATTTTACTTGATCATAGGCTTTTGCAATATCGAGCGTTGCTACCATGAAACCTTTTTTGTTTCTTATTTAGCTTTCACGCCATTAGAGCACTCAAAAGCCACCATAAAATTATCAGTTATTGGTCTCCCATACACAAAAGCAGATTGATTCTTCTCCATCACTCTATTGTGAATCTTCTTTATCCTGTTTGCTAGTAATCTTGACATGATCTTATAGAGTACTCTACATAAGCTTATTGGGCGAAATTGCATAGGCCATTCTGGTTTTTTAGTTTTAGGGATTAATGGAATCAAAGTGGGATTAAGCTCATGTGGGAGTGATCTTATCTCCAAATAGTCTCTCAGTTCCCTTACTACACCCGCCCTACTATTTCCCAAATTTTCTTGAAAAACAATGATGGCATTTCATTTGATCCCGGGCTTTTGTGGATCCCATGTGTTTCAGTGCCATCCATATCTTCTCTTTTGTGAATGGTTGGTAGCAACAATTCAGTGTTCATAGTTTCTGTCACCTTAAGTTGCACTACTGATAATATCTGGCTTGTTGTAATATGCTCCTTTAGCACAAAAAGCTCTTTGCTGTAGTTCACCACATGGTTTGTAACTTCCTTTTTCCCACATATATAGTTTCCTAGTGGAGTCCTTGAGTTGTTTAATTTTTTTTTCCTCCTCTCGGATGTCTTACAATGGAAGTAATTAGTGTTCTAAATTCCAATCCCTTTCTTTTAAGCACTAAGCTCTGAATCGTTACTTACACTTGCATTCTTCCTGCAGAATTATGTCACAGTGACTTGCACTTTCCGGTCGACCTCAGTTAGGATTAGATCGACCTCATTTAGAATTCGGTCGACCTCATATAGGATCTGGTCGACCTCATTTAGGATTCGGTCGACCTCATATAGGATCAGGTCGACCTAATCTGTTGTTTCACTGTAAAAACAGTTCATGGTGCCTACTTTGGATATTCATATCATACAATTGGCTAGATGGAAATTGAAGACTAATGGCTTGTTTTGAAGCTGGAGTGTCCCTCTACATATTGAAGTGATTGATAGCTCGATAGGAAGTCCAGAAGACCATTTTTGAACCTCATCAAAAGGCTATGCCAAAACTGGGAAACTGCCTGGAAATGGCTAAGTCTGGAAACGTGTTTGTTAAGCCTATTTTGGAGCTCAATTCGAGAAGCATGAATGCGAGTCGAGTCTAGAAGCCTCTACCACGTTAAATTAGGTATATTTTATACAAATTCAAGGCATTGGATGAAAGATTGGATATCTGTAAGGCTTCAAACAAAAGGGTCGAAGTTGCTACGAAGGCTGTTTTTCTGGCAGACTTCGAGCACAAGCAAGCTGCCAGAAAAATAGCCTTCGTAGCAACTTCGAGCCTTTTGTTTGAAGCCTTAAAGATATTAAATCTTTCATCCAATGCCTTGCCTTTGTATAAAAAAATACGTAATTTAACGTGGTAGAGGCCCCTGGACTTGACTCGCATCCATGCTTCTCAAATTGAGCTCCAAAGTAGGCTTGACAAACACGTTGCCAGACTTAGCCATTTTCAGGCAATTTTCCAGTTTTGGCATAGCCTTTTGGTCAGGTTAAAAAATGATCTTCTGGACTTTCTATTGAGCTCCCAAGTACTTTTATGTGTAGAGGGACACTTCAGCTTCAAAACAAGCCTTTAATCTCCAATTTCCATCTAGCCAATTGTAAGATATGAATCTCCAAAGTAGGCACCATGAAACTGTTTTTACACTGAAACAACAGATTAGGTCGACCTGATCTATATGAGGTCGACCGAAAAGTGCATGTCACCGTAGCAAAGTCCTTAAAAATAAAACTCATCTAACATTATATCATCTTTTATTTTGTGTCGGGTCGATGTGGCTCTAATCGTCCTTTCTCAACTTTTCTCTTTCCTTATTATGTTCACTTTCTATATGATTCTTTTAATTTTCCACTCCAAACCATGTCTTTTTTGTCACTATAAAAAATTATTGTGACGTATTGGGTTTTCTCCTCTTCCTTGGTCGTCTACACCATTTCGACTTCATACGCTCTCTCTTTTTTATCTCTTTCTTTGATTATCTTTCTAACTAAGTTTATGAGGACAATTTGGAAACTAGATTGTATATTTTATGAAAGTTTGTAGCGAGATCCAAATCTTGTTGAGATTGTCATTTGTAAAAGATAACAAATTGTTGAGATGGAAAAATAGAATGTGTTATTGCATAATTTTGCATAGATAATCCAAATGACAAATGTGAAAGAAATTAAATTAATTTTTCTTTTAATGTATTCCAAAAATGATTATTTAATTTAATTATATTCAATTACAAAGATTTTATTTGATGTTCCATACAAAACGTGCATTCGCGTGTGGGACTCGATCTACCATGAGTCATTTCCTCTTTTTAGCTATAATTTATTTTTTTTTTCTGTTAAATTCTGAAAATCCAATCACATTGCAACAATCATACTTTAACAGTCATAAAAAACCAGCGCATTTTAACAGTCACATTTTCCCCTATATATTCAGTCACTTCCCATGTTTTTTTCTCCTTTCATTCTCATGGGTGAAATCAAATTATCTCAATCTCATCTATGATTCTATATATCATCTGAACCTTCAACCAGCATCTAAAGGATTATATTCTAATGTTGGTGGTGAAACACCTAATCTCATCCATTTCTTTGTCTCCTTCATATAATGAGCTATCTAAGAAATTCCTGATGTATATGTTTGTTTTAAAAATGAGGAAAAATATAATATAAGTTATTGTGTTGAGGACAAATTACGAATTGTCAATTATATAGTCATATGCTACAAAAAATGACAAAAAAAAGTCATAAAATAACGACCACAAAAAGGTCATGAAACTAATGGGCCCAAAATAACAGTAGTAAATTAACGATTGATTTTTGGGGGTTGAATTATCTCAAAAAATATAAAAAATAAAGTGAAAATTGAAAATTAGCATGAAATAAATATCAGTTATAAAAAAAACTTAATAAAATATGATAAGATAAATTTAGAAGGTCGAAACAAAAAAGTTAGGGGTGTTCAAACGGTGTGGTTACCATGGTAACCGTTTTAACCAGTACTATTTGGATAATTTGGTTTGGTTAATTTGGATAATTGGTTTGGTTTGGTTAAAGTTTTTAGCTTGTTTGGTTTAGGTGGTTTGGTTTGGTTTCAGACACTCCTAACCAGTCAAACCAAATTAACCAGATAAATAATTAGCCATATATATAATACATACACATACTTAATACTTTGAATAACCACTCAAGAGTTAAACGTTCATCCCTTTTTAGACTCATAAAATAAAAAAGCTTGATATTATTCCTATAATGTACATTTGTATATGTAGAGTGTAGACCACAACAGATGAATGCCTAATTTAGATAAAGCTCATACATTATGTTGGATGAAAACTTGAAAGCAAGGTCCTTTTCAGCCTATGAAAATTGCTAAAAGACTAAGTCAATTCAAACAAACACAACAATTCATTAACCCATACCAGTGTGATAAATTTTTGCTAGGTGAATACTTCTATACTAACCGTAAGATAATTGTCTTAGTTGCATGTATTTATGTTAAAGGTTAACTATAACCAAGTGTTGATTGTTATGTTTTATTCATTATATAAATTGTGAATTGATAAATTAACCGAAAATTTTCTCACTTAATGATAATGTGATTTAATATTGGTTAATCTGGTTAACCAATTAACCAAACCAATTAAACTTTAGTTTGGTTAATTTGATTGTTGTATTAGTTTGGACCATTTGGTTATAATATTGTATTCCAAGATTAATAAAATTTAGCATTATTTGATTTGGTAATAACCATAGTAACCAATGGAACACTCCTTAAAAAAAGTGATGTGAGAAGTTAAGAGTGGGCATTTGAAAGGTTGAGAGACCATCACCATATTGGTCTTGCTCCATTAACGGGGAAGCCCAATAACTTGGGATGGCCCATTTTGCTTGTCCCAGCCTACGCAAATAGATCGTCCAATCCTGCCTACAGTGAGCAGAAGAGGCGTTGCTGGCGGCAGAGGAGCAGCAGAGAGAAAGGCAACCAAAAATGAAGTTCACAGACTCGCCGGTGATCGAGCTCCCAATCGGAGACAAGGTCCTCTCAATTCAACAAGACAATGGATCGATGCACGTTGGCACCTCCGTCTGGCCGTGCTCCCTCGTCCTCGCTAAGTTCCTCGAGCGCTGGGCAGGAGTCTCGCCCCCCGCCGCAAACCCTTACTCCTCCCTTGTCGATTTCGGCTCCAAGCACCGCCGGGCCATCGAGCTAGGCACCGGATGCGGGGCCGCCGGGATGGCGCTCCACCTCCTCGGCCTCACCGACATCATCCTCACGGATATCGCCCCCGTGATGCCGGCGCTCAAGCACAACCTCAAGCGGAACAAGCAAACCCTAGGTAAGATGCTGAAGACCTCGATACTGTACTGGAACAACACGGAGCAGATGAATTCGCTGAAGCCGCCGTTCGACGTAGTGGTCGCGGCTGACGTGGTGTACATAGAGGAGTCTGCGGTACAGCTGATTGGTGCCATGGAAGCGCTGGTGGCCGACGACGGCGTGGTGCTGTTGGGATATCAGTTGAGGTCTCCCGAAGCGCATAAGCTGTTCTGGGAAATGTCTGAGACGGTTTTCGAGATTGAGAAGGTCCCCCATGAAGATTTGCATCCTGATTACGCTTATGAAGAGGCTGATATGTACATATTTCGCAAGAAAAAGAAACAGCAGTAGCTGAATCCGCGCAACCTTGCTGGTATGAAACTCTCTTGCTTCTTCCTCTTTTGCTTAAGCAACAACTCCTGGTTTTGCATTTTGTACTTTATTTCAGTAAAGTTTTAATCTTTTAGAAGCCATAGATAGTACTAGGAGCTTATGCAGAGACAAATATATCTGGGTTAGCGAAATTTCATTTGAACAAGAACATTGCTATTCGACATGGTTGTTTTGTATTTTTCATACTTTCATTTGATGCTGATTAATATATATATATATACTGATGACCATATTAGTATTAGGATCTTCGTTAGAGCTCTGCACACTCGCTCACAAACAAGATATGAGAAAAGGGCATTGTGGGTTATTGTTGATGATGCAACAGCGAAGCTGTTTCGTTCTTTACTGAAATTTATGAATGTTGCCTTTGCATAGGGTTCATTATTGTTTCTCTGCCCTTGCGGTGAGGGACTGAGGGTGGAAAAGGATGAGTCGATTTGGTGCAGATTGGTCCATGTTGAGGTCACAAGACATTTACTCGTGAGGGATTTGTGCTGGCAAGGGATCACCCAGCAGCGAAGGAGGGATTGAATAGCACTTGATCCGTTGATTGGCAGGAGGGAATCCATGTGCTTCATCAACACTGACTACAGATCCTACGAGAGAGCTGCTCAACTGATAGTGGAGAGTATTATTGTGCATTGACAACTGCAATAACTCTGTTGTCATAAGATTCTATGTAACAAAAAATGCTTGAATCACAAGGTATGCTGCTCAACGGGCAGACTCTGCTAGTTTCAATAGTATTTTTACCACCTTACGATTCATTTCTGTATTGTGATTGACTTGAGACTTCATTTCTGTACTCTTACCACCTTAATATGACTATTCCTTCCCACAGACCACGATTGGGAAGAGTGAGGTTATATCTTATATGTATTGGTAATTATGCCGTTATTTTGAAAATTACTAACATAATTAGGGATTGGAGGGCACAGCTGCCTTGTTTTGCTGGAAGAGCCTAGGTGATAGCTTCTGTTCTCTCTAGTGTTTCTCAGTATTGGATGGTTTCCATTTCAAGGAAGATCGTAAAGGAGATTGAAAAACTGTTTGTCAACTTCTTAGGCAATGTCGGGAATGGTGGTAAGAAGGTAAAAGTGGCTCGGTCTCTGCTGGTTTTACATAGAGCTGATGGTGAAGTTGGTTTTAAGAATTGGCCTGCAGCTCGATTGTCTTGCTAAATTGATCTTCTGCCAGGATCTCATTTCGCAGGTCTTTGCGGAGTAGGTGGATGTTATATAGGAACGTATTCTTGGAGTTTATGATAACTTCCGGGTGCATTTGACAGGGCATGGTGATAACATGCAATGGGATGGGGTGCCTCTGGCCAAGTTTACCATTAGAGTCGGCATTCGGTCGGTTCAGTTAAATTCCACTGAATCTGAATAAAACGAGTCTAAAAGTTCTTTTGCTTTTCGAGCTGAAGACTGTCCAAGCTAGGTGTTGATTTGTTTTGAACCGAAGTTTTACGGTGGCAATTTGTTCCGAACGGAAGTTTTTCTGGTTTGGTTCGGGTTTATCGAATTGCCAAAGTCTTGGATCCGTTCTCGTTAGTGACTCTCAATGGGAGATGAGCGGAGGCTGTAAAGGAAGCTGAGAAGGGGAAGGGGGTTGTTTGGCAGTGATGCTTCCAATAAGAGCTCTAAAAGGCATGTGAGGGGAGATCGAGGAGTTGTAGTCGCGACGACGACGAAGGAAATGTTAATAAATGGTATAAGATCCACAATTGAACATTTTCCAACAATTCAAGTTATTGAGATCAACTAGTTCTTGACATGGTAGTAGAGCCTTCTGTAGCCAAGAGGTCTTGTGTTCGATTCAAAAGTTGGTGAAGATCTAACCTAACCTACTCCTAAACAATAAACCAAGTGGTTGGGAGATCGCTAGATGAGACGGTTGCCTATGGTCAAATCCTCCTAACTACGGTTGTCATGTAGGGTAAAGAGAATGTGGGGCTTTAAGTACCTAGCTCCTTTCAATGGGTACTACACACCGTCCACACAGAGGTTTCATCCTAGGTTCCATCTAGGAAGACGTTCTTGTGGCAGGGGTTCAGTCGCCTCGTCCACCACAAGACCCTATTCAAATCATCTAACCTAAATATGCCATATGGCGCATCCCCGTCTAACCCTAAAACTCCGTATCCAGCGTAGAATCTCAAGTAGGCTAGTAGAGAAGATTATGGCGACTTACCCAAGCACAATTAAGGCTAAATGAAGCAATAAAATCAATTAGATAAACACATTCATACAAAATCCATACATGCATAACTTATAAACTAGAGTTCATCTTCCCTAAACAACCATTAGAGATTTAAGTCATAAAGAGAGAAAGAAAACACAAACTAGAAGAGAGAAGTGATGGAATCAATCTTCTTCTCCTTGCATGCACCTTCTTCTTGCTCCATGGGTGGATTGGATCTTCAATGAATCTCTCCCGAGGTGTTTCCCTCTCTAAAACACTCCAAAACCCTAACTTTCTCACTCTAAGATGGCTCTCCTTTGTCAAGTGCAGAAAAAGGAGTATTTATAGGCTGCTGGTAGTGGTCATGGCCTCGAGGGCGTGACCCGATGGTCACGGCCATGACCTGGCTGAGACCAGCTGGAGCGCTACCGACCCGCCCGAAACGTCGGTTTTGACATCCTCTTTAAGCTCCGAGATCGCGGTCTCCTTCATAAGATCGCGACCGTGATCTTTGTGTCACATGCATGATCATTTTAGTGGTCAAAACACACCATGTCTGCGATTCGAGTGCCGAAACTTTATGCCTTTTTCTTGGTCGCTTGCTAATGTTCGCGACCACTGTTCACGACTGTGATCTTCATGCCGCAAACATGGTCACGGTCCAGTCACGGTCGTGACGTATGGCCTTGACTTGTGCATTTTCTCCCCTTCTTGCTCTTATGCTTCCCAATCGCGTTCAGATGGACTCCAATTGATTCCCAATCAATCCCAAATGCATATAAGACCGAGAATTTCATCACAAATACCGGAAAAGCATAAAATATGACAAAGTGGGGTCGGTTCCTCCATGGAAACCTTCATATCAAGAATACTGATGCCAAAATGGGTGTTTGCAAATAGGAACGTAAATAGGCATGAATAACTTGATATGTGGCATAGACACGGTTATTTAACATGCAAATGCCTTAAGAATAAGGGCTAAATAACGCCTATTTTAGGTGTTATCAGATGTGTATAAAACTCTGAAATGAAGAGCTTCTCCTGGGACAAACGACTGATGGAGCGGCGAATTTCGTAGACACGAGGATGGCTCCCTTGCTCAAAGCACTCCTTTAGGTCGACCCAGACCTCCCGATTTATGTTAGCATGCCACATACCGCAACGAACCTGTTTGTCGACGACCGAGGTTAACCATCCCTTTACCATAACATCTGCACGACGATAATCGCATAGTTTTCCCGGATTAGTGGGGTCCTCGAGCGAACCATCCAAAACTCTAGTTTGTTTTTTGCCAAGAGAGACATTGTCATCTCATACACCCAATATGCATAGTTGGTCTCGTTAAGGAGCTCACCAACATACAACTGATTAGGGTTGTCGGATTGACTCATAAAATAAGGAGAGTCAGGAACATGCTCATACCCGCCGCTAATCACAACACCACCAATGCTAGAAACCGTAGATTCCGACTTGTCACTCATCATCACACAACAAAAGGGAGGATCTTGTCACAACTCTGATACCATGTAGAAAATCAAACACGGAAAATAAACGAACACAGAGGTTTAACGTGATTTTCCCATTTGACGTGAACATGACTACTCCACGGAGAGGTTCAGCCAAGGTTGTCAACCCCGCGGGTTGACCCGGACCCGGTCGAACTAGTGGGTCAAGGGTTAATGGGTCAACCGTTTTAGCCCGATTTGGCCCGGAAATATGGAAAAAGTCATTATATTGTACCTATCCTCATAAATTATATCAAATCTTATCTAACATATGAGTTATAACATATAATATTACACCAAAATAACATATCGTATATAGATCCAACATATAGTGAAAATTCACACACACTTATATAACATAAATATTCAAATGTTCAACTTTTTTTTTGGCATAAATAGTTTGTAATAGATAGGGCATTACAGTACGTTGAAAATGAAAAAGCGGTAGTCAACTAAATGGGTCGCTACCGATACAAGGGCCGTTTGTGCCACGCGATGGGCAACCCTGTTAGTACTACAAGGAGCAAAAACAAAAGATACAAATGCAAAGGAGGTGTTTAATAGCCGCATTCTTCAAGTACCGCGCCACCTCGATCATGGTTGGCATCGTTCTCCATTGCTCGGCGTATCACCAATTGGGAGTCCCCACAAAAGCAAACAAAAGAATAATCTTTGTTTAAACTCCATAACATTGCATCTCTTAAAGCCAATAACTCCATTAAGAAAGGATCCGAGATATCATCATAGAACTTACCGTACACGCAGACTAATGATCGGTCACCGGTGAACCCAACGAATCCTATGCTGCCTCCTATTCCCCGCCTTGTCTCACCATCAAACCGAAGCAGTAGACCAGCGGATGAGCAGGTAGGAGGTGATTGTGGGTAGGGATGGCAATAAAACCCGAACCCACGGGTACCCACCCGACCCAATCCGGTCAACGCGGGTAAAACCCGTGTTGACGGGTTTTGGGTCGGGTTCGGGTTTAAACCCGCTACACTATTCATCGGGTCGGGTTGGGTTTGGGTTTAGATAAACCCGCCCCATGGGTACCCGCCCACACACATATAATTACTTTTCCGGTATATTTAATATTCTAAATAATATATCTTTCTTAAACAACTAATATTCTTTATGTTTTTCGAGACATGTGTAATTTGTTCTTTCTAATTGTTTAGACCGAAGTTGATATTATGAAGTGGAGAGTGAAGAAACTTAGTTGACGAGGAAGAAGCTTTCAATTAATCTTATTGTTTATAGATCTTTATCTTTAATTTTGAACAATTTGTATTGATCATTTGCGGTTTGCTTGTATGCTCTAGATTGGTGTTTCTTGTATGATTAATTTGTATGAAAAAATTGCTATTAAACTTTTATTTTGAAAGAAACTTGTTATTGTAAATTTTTTACTACAAAAACCCACGGGTACCCATGAACCCGCGGATACCCAGCGGGTTGGGTTGGGTTTGAGTTTTTCAAACCCAACGGGTTTTACCCCGGGTTTTTTTAGAGGATAAACCCATGGGTTTGGGTTTCACAAAACCCGCCCCAACCCGCCCCATTGCCATCCCTAATTGTGGGCGCCTAGGATGAGTCGCAGGTGGGAGTTGGTTCCGCGGGGAAACAGTAACCGACCCCTACAAGTTGCAAAACTAGCAAACAAAAGGCAAAAAAACACTTCTATCTGGCAAGAGTTCGTCTAGCAACTAGCATTATATATTTCTAGCTCAAATGTTCAACTTAGCATTCCAAAAATTGAGCTAGGCGAAAAGAAAAATCGGAAAATAGGCGCATTTCGCAAACCAATGAAAAAATGATACAATTTGACCTCCAACCCGGTACCTTGTAGCAGTCGGCCAGGCGGATGCGTGCGGCCCGTTTTTCTCACCGGATTAGGATCAAAGTGGGTCGACCCGCTGTTGACAACCTGAGCTTTCGACAAACTCTACTAGGTGTTTTCTGATTATAGCAACAGTCCAACACACACGGCCGAGGCTCACATCACATCACAAGCTATATATATGGCTTGGTCTTTCTAACCCAACGTCTATCTCCTAGGGTTACAAGGACAAATTGCCAAACACATCACCAGTTAATATATATGTACAATGAAGGACACGTCTCGCAACAATATATATTTATATAAAACTGGTAGCTTGTTATCGGACTTCAATTACATTATGATTATGATCTTGTGTGACTTGAACAAGACAGCAGTTGGAAGTCAGTTGTTGCATTTCATGCATGAGCAATTGGACCTCGTTTAGTAAGAAGAAAGTATGACATGCTTCTTCAAGATTTCTTTAGTAGGTAATATCACTGATTTTCCTTTGGACCAATGGTACATAACTCTCTTCATTAGTTTGGATTAGTTTTTTGTGCCGATTGGCATCACTAGTGCGAGCATGTGACAATTAACGTATTATGGCTATGTTTAGGGTTGATAACTAAACTCGCTTTCATGATACCCGATCTGATCAAACTCAATCACACCGAGAAATTTCGCATTGACGAGTTTTCGAATTATGTGGTGCGGCTAAACCTCGCTTTAAAAATTGACAAGTTGAGTCGGATGCGGGTTTGCTCAAAACCAGGCCCGCTCTCCACCCTGACCCAGCAACCAAACGACTTTGTTTTGCATGTTTGCATCTAACCCTAGGCATGAAGCAATCCCTCATCTGTGTTCTGCCTCCCCCATTCTCTATCTCAGCGCCCTCTGTCGAGTGTCGAAAATCAAATCTAGAGTCCTGATCGTCGATACCGAGTTCCCGCGGTTTTGTTGCCGGACTTCGCCGATCGGCCTGCTGATCTTCTTTTTCTTTTAATCCCCTGCACTTCTTCTCCCCACCTTGCTGCATTTCTTCTCTAATCGCAGCCGATCACATCTCCCAAGCGCCCCTCCGAATCTTCCAGTCCACTTCCCCGTCATCCAGAATTCCCCACATCTCCCATCGCCTGCCAGCTTTCTCTGAATGCCTCAGCCGCCTACCAAGACCTCCTGCTGCTGAGTGTCGAATCTGCTGTCTGCTGACTACGGTGAGTTCCTTTCCCCATTGTTTGTTGTTTCTACTTTTTTTCTTAACTCTCGAGCTTGATAGATGATGGATGGATGGATGAACTGGGATTTTAGACAGACTCCATTTTGGGCTTGTGGTTTCTCAATCCGTCTTCTGAGTTTGATGAATGGATGACTGCCCATGTTCACCAACCTTTCTCGTGCTGCTAATTTATGTTTCTGTTCGGTTGATGGATGATTACTTGATGTCTTGCTTTGCTTCCAAGACTGTATTTGCTATCTCAAACTGAGCAGGATCAAATTTACCAACTTATTGATCAAATTATTTTGGTTTAGGTGAATTGATATGGATTCTCCAAATTCGCCTCAAGGGGAAGTTCAATCACAAGTGAAGGTGATGATACTAATTCGTCCACAGATGCCCCGCTCAAATTATGCATAATGTATATGGATAATTTGCGGATGCTATTTTATATATTGTGGCTGTGTGTTTGTAATGAAAATTTCAACATTCATCGCGATTTATGTTCGTGAATCATTGGGTACCAATGCACCCGGCAGGTACCCGCTGGGTTGGGTTTGGATACCCAACCCATTGCCATCCCTAGTTATACTTGCCATTTGCTTCAACACCCCAGTGAAAAAGATGAATTGAAAGAAGGAATATGTTATCACTGCTTTGACTTAGACGCTCCTATTGCAGAAGTTGTGCTAACGATGGAAATTCATTAGGTGGTTGGCGATATAAATTCTCGTTTCTGACCTCAAAATGGATACTTAAAGCCTCACCTTAATGAGTGATACTGTCATGCAGGAGGCTCAAGATAATGCAGCTACAGAAGCAGGTTTGCGTTGTTCTAGTCCTATTGATAAAATGAAGAAAAAGTTGGAAGCTGCTTGTCAGGGTGCCAATGTAAAATTGGATGATGTTGCCATGGTAAATGAATTATGGCTCTCATTATTTTGCTACTCACAATACATCTCCTTGTTGTTCTGGCTTTATTATAACAAATGTCAGGCTCTCTCCAAACACACAAGATGGTGGGCTGTGTTTGTGTTTCTTATAGTACATAAAAAGACCATACATAGTCAAGTTCTTTTTCCAAGGGGAAAATACCGATGTTCTTGGTGCTTCAGTTGACATATCTAATTCTTAAGCAGTGCTATGATATATTGGTACTTGTCGGTTAGGTACTGGTTTTATTTGAGTTGCATTAGTCTCCAACATTGCAATCGGGTAGAGAAATTTGAATAACCTTCTGAATAACCTTCACTAACTGTATAAAATTATATGCTTGCATCAGATCATTCATGTCTGTTGGGCGGCTCTATTATTGTTATACTACTTCTGAATAACCTTCACTAACTGTATACATCTGCTTCATGATTAGTGAAATATAACCCCTCATGGATATATGTCTATGTTTAGGTTCTTGATGGACTTTTGTTGGAGTATGAAGTGGTTGTTAGTCCTGGAAGATGTCATCAGCTCTCCTTAACGAAAAGGTATTATATTTTGTTGATTGGGTACAAGTACTAAATTAAGTTGCATATTCGCTATACAAGCACAGAAATCAAAGTTGCAAGACTATTTTTTTAAATGTGGTTAATTCCAAGGTTTCATTGAATATCCAACTATGATGAGTGGGCATCCGAATATTATGGGAGTGATTGAATTATATCGGCCTGCAGATTCTACATTATTGTAGTTTTCCTGCAAATATGCTCTGTAGGTTACATGTGCCAGTTACTGAGGACTTGTGTTTGTGCAAGTAATTAGATGCACTCTTCATGGTGTCATGATTGGGGTTCTTCATGGATTGCGTTTAGTAATTTAGAGTAGAACTACTTACACAGCATGTTTAGTTAAGGCTCAAACACAGACAAATTGTTTTAATGGATGAAGCCTCTACTGACAACTTTCAGCTATAACCACTTTATCCAGTGTGCTTGGCCCAATATTTGAGTACTTCAAGAAGTTGATCGATAATGTCTCATCAGAAAAGGATGCTTTGCTGTTGAGATGCTGCACGGTGGAAGAGAAGGCTGGGTTGCTCCTAAAGAAGTTGGAAGCAAGTGAGAAGTTAAAATCTGAATATCAAAGTCGTTATGAAGATGCTGTAAAGGACATGAACAATCTCTCTCATCATTATAAGAAGCGCATGAGTGAAATGGAGAGCAATTGCCGCTCAATTGAGGATAAATGTTCAAGTTTGCTTGAAATGCTCGACGGCGTGAAGCAGGAATCTCTGGACTGGAAACTGAAGTATGAAGAGTCATTTACTAATAGGAAAGATTTTGATGATCTGAATTATTTAAAAGAAAAAGTCAGTGATCCTCGGCCCAGGGACGTGTCATCCAAATTTTCTAGGGCTGGCAAACAAGCTTGGTGTCCAGAACCAAAACCTTCTGCTAATGAAGCTCAGATGGCTTTTGAAGAGGCACGTCAATGGAAAGATAAGTACGATCTTGCTGTAAATGAAGCCAAGGATGCCATGGAGAAAGCAGAGGCGGAGCTTAAACTTTTAGCTGACCAAACAAAACTTAGAGAAGGAGCCCTCAGGGTGGAATTCTCCAACAGCTTAGCGAAAAAGGTGTGGCTTTCACTCCCTATCTGAATTTGTTAAGTAGCATACCTATTCTACCTTTGTGTAGCTGTGACATTGACATATATATACTCCTATGGATCTATAAGTGTGCACCACTATGGATCCTCATATTTAGTTAGTCTTTTCCTTTTTGCTGGAGCTTGGAAGAGTGTGGAGATGCTTAATTCTTGAAAATGGATGGTCAGGACGAGGAAATTAAGGACACAATGTTGAAGCTTGAAGATGCTGAGCGAAGATTAAATACTTTAACGTCCAATCTCCAGGTTTGTTTACTTGAAAATAAATTATTTTGGGAATTCCTTGCTGTTCCTTTATTGTAGCGTTAGTCTTCTCCCGATAACTTGGATGCATATGTATAAGTAAAGTGATCTTTTGGTCCAGGTTGGGGAGAAAAGAATACAGGCCTATGATTTGGAAACCTCAAATTTGAAGCTTCAGTTTAAGGAATTGAATGACAAGTATGAGTTTATTAAAGCATCTGCTCAATCACTAGAAAACCAAGCACAAATGAGGTTACAGGAAAAATTGGAATTGGAGCAGAAGTACCTTGCTGAGTCGAAAAGACTTGAGGAGATCCAGGCTAGGTGTAAGGTTGCCGAAGAGGAAGTTAATGTAGCTCAGGCGAGGTTGAAGGAAAAGGCCGAAGTCGAGCAGAAGTATCTTGCTGAGTCGAAAAGACTTGAGGAGATCCAGGCTAGGTGTAAGGTTGCCGAAGAGGAAGTTAATGTAGCTCAGGCGAGGTTGAAAGAAAAGGCCGAAGTCGAGCAGAAGTATCTTGCTGAGTCGAAAAGACTTGAGGAGATCCAGGCTAGGTGTAAGGTTGCCGAAGAGGAAGTTAATGTAGCTCAGGCGAGGTTGAAGGAAAAGGCCGAAGTCGAGCAGAAGTATCTTGCTGATTTGAAAATGCTCAGGGAAACCCATGAAAGGTGCAAGTCGTCGACGAATGAGTCTGCAACAGCACGGTTTGAGCAAGGACAGTATATTATTGAATCAGATCTTACAGGTAAACCAGTGACTTTGCTAGAAGAAATGCTTAAAGAAAGAAACCAAGAAATCGATCAATGGAAATCCAAGTGTGAGCAACTGTCAAGCTCAATTCAAGTAGTGGATGATGCAGTTTTGGAATCAGAACGTGATTTGACAAAGTCGTTTGATCCGGAATCACTGGAGGCAAAACTTCATTCAATCGAGCAACATCTGAACTCTGAAAATGCAAACGAGGACGATGAGATGCTGAGTGAGATGAAGTTTCCAACTCCGTCAAAACGAACATGGTCGCCAGAGCTGCCTGAGAGTTTTGCTTCTCCCAGCCAAAGCATGGCTTCCGACGGAGGAATAAAAACTGAGCAGCAGAGGAAAAGACAGAGGACAAACATGTCATTGCAAAAATGCACGTCCACAGAGGTGGGCAAAGAGTCTGCTTTGAAGGTGGATAGTGAAGCTGAAGATGATGCTGAGAGCAGGAAGCCTGCTGATTCAGTAGTTAGTTACGCCAAGTTAACTGTGGCTAGAATGCGGCAAGAACTCAATGATGGCGGTTTTGGAGCTGAGTTGCTCAAGCTGAAGAGCAAGCAAAAGAAGGACGTGTATGCTCTCTACAAAAAACATGTCCTCAAGAACTGAACGTTTTTGTCCCTGTCCTCGATAGACTTATTGAGTGATGATGATGTTGGCAACGGTTTGTTCAAGGAAGTTTTGGAAAGAGATCCCAGGATGCGTGTAAATTTGTAGAACCTGTATATTTTCTGGGATACCAGAAGGGTTTACCTGTAATTTGCTGGTGTTTGTGAAGGTGAAATCGGTGCTCGTCTTTAAAGTTCCTGTTAACGTCGCCCTAAATTTTTAAATTTAACGCCCTTAATTCTACTGAATGGACGATTTTGCCCTTGCCATAAACAACCCTAAACCGCCAGCTCTTCCCTTCACAATAATTTGCCGCCGCCGTTTCTACCTAGCAATTCGCCGTCGCCGACCTTTGTTGCTGGCGCTCAAGGAGGACAAAAAAGAAATCATGTCACCCAGCATCTTCCCCTTCGTTTGCTTACACCGCCGCCCTTTTCCCAGCAATTCCCCACCGCCAACCTCTGTTGCTGGCGCTCGAGGAGGAAGAAGAAGGAATCATGTCACCGAGCAGAAAATAACCTCCCCAACTCCTGCTACTACCTAACCTAGCCCATCGCCGATTGATGAAGAAGGAGGGAGGAGGAAGAAGGTTGGAATCCTCCAACCAGATTTTTTGTTTTTTGTTATGGGTTCACTCGTCGAACGGGTTGAAAACCCATCTCCGGTGAGGTCTGGACGGATTTACGGCCTGTATTCACACCGGCAGCGATGGATTTTAAACCCTCCCGACAAGTGGGAGAAGCGGGCGGGTCCGACGATGGTCTGGTCGGGTAGATCATTCGCCTCATCATGGTCTGAATCTATCTGTCGCCCGGCGACTAGGACACAACAAGCTCTGAGCAGCAGCGACGGCGGTGAGTTTGGCGTGGCGGCGGGATTGTGCATTTGGGGTAGGATTGAAATTCTGAATGGCGATTATTTTTGTTAAAATATAATATTCTAACAATAAAAAAGGATATAAATGTAATTCTAATCTAGGGCGATCAGGAAGTTAGAGCGACAATTAGCCATCCCCTTCATTTATTGCCTTCGATTTTTTTTTTTATAATGGTGAACAGCACCCTCCACCAGCAATTCCACTTTCGACTCCAAATCTCCTAATCCACTTCGCTAAGAGAGTATAATTGAAAGAAGCCATGTCGCAGATTCTCAGGTCACCATTAGCTTCTGATGCTATATATACAAACCTCCCACCACACCAGAGGTCTTTTGTGGTCGTACCCTATTCTATTCCATTAAAACTTTCTCTGCACCTTCTCCATATTATTCACCACCATTTTTGGGGCCTTAAAGAAGAGAAATAATACACAAGTTGACTTGAAAATGTTGAGTGTTAGGATGAAGTAGCATAAAAGTTTCTTTTAAAAAAACATCGAAAAAATGCGGGCTCTTTGGGACTATTCAGGCCTGGAATACTTGGGGGAAGGATTGCCTCGGCACACATTCCCGTTATTCCTCAAACGTCTGCTGGCACTGATTTATCAGCCGCATTTGGTTATGGCTGTGGTTACCATCCTTTGGCGGATCTGGCGGTCCCGTAACTGGGTTGTCTTTGAAGGCAAACAGTTTGGGATCCATGCGCTCATGCGACAATACAACCAACAGTACATGGAACGGATGGGCTTGCCTACGGACCGGGTACCCAAGGTGACTTGCCCTTTGGTTCAGCCTGAGCCTCAGGTGGGTGGTACCCGGTTGGTGTGTAGGTGGGATGGGGCCACTAAGGGTGGGTCGCACTCGGCTGGTGGGATGGTCATTTTAGACACCGAGCGGAGGGTGCTGTTGGTGAAAGGAGTTCAGCTCCCTCATATGGATGAGCCCGCGGTGGTGGAATTGCTCGTGCTCCGGGAGGCTATTATTTGGTGTTTGGAGTGTGGCTTCTCGGAGGTCCTGTTTGAGGGTGATGCAAAGGTGGTTATTGATAAGATTAATCATGCCGACACGAGGGATAACAGGTTGGGTGATGTCCTGGAAGAGATCTGTCATTATTTTTCCACTCAGTCGGGGTTTAGTGTGCGCTTCATAGGTCGGGAGAACAATAGGGTAGCTCATTCGGTAGCTAGAAAAGCCCTCTCTTTGTATCCGACTATGTGTCGTTTCTTTGATTTTCAGGCCTGGCTGGTTTCCAGAGTGTAACTATCTTTTTTGAATCAATATATGATATCTTTTGACAAAAAAAAAGGACTTATGAATATCGATCGACTCATAAGTCATAAGCTAGTCAAGGATTCCTTGCATGATATATGATAGTAGGGTTTGTCTAGGTTACTACAAGTTCAATCCTAACCACAAGTGCAGGGATTAATTAATTAGAGTCCATACTCTGACATTTCCCTCACTTGTTTATCATTCATATTCAGTCAATTAGAGTGTTTAGAATAAATAGTTGAAAAAACTTGTTTTGCTAAATAATAGAAGAGCTTAATTATAAGTGTCGGTACATCTATAGATCTCAAGGAATAGGACTTTGAGACCCTATACTACTCATACATGCAATTTGTGCACTTATATCAAGAATATACCGTGTTAATTTACGAGCACATCAAAATTTCTCAACAAACTCTCTACTCGTGAATTTTATATCTTATGCTACAATCTCGAACCAAGTTCAACACGAAATTAAATGAAAAGAAAAAAAGAAATGAATGAAAGTAAAAAAGAGAGAAAAGGTAGCCCAATGCATATGCAACAACACATGGTAATAAAGTTTGTGGGGGGGGGGGGGGGGGGGGGTGACAATGAAGCAACAATCAACAAAAACAACAGATTTTATTCTTGTACAATTATTGTACTCATTATTAGTCACTACAATATCAAAGCCCTAACTAAAGCACAATAAAGAGCAACTAATAAGCCAAAACAGCTGGTCGGATAGAATATCCTTGACCCATTATAAGAATCATCTTTTTTGTACAATTCCAAAGTTAGCTAACCAGCTGTGGAATAGATATCATTGTCTCCTCTGTCCTCCAGAAATCATCACCCCACGTGAATTATGATGGTCCCTTTTTTTTTCCACCATCACTAGGCACTAATTATATTCATCACTAGACAAATTATTAACCTAATCGACGTATTGAAGTCCCAAATATAATATTATAGAGAAAATTAATCCCCATTAGTTATTGTTCTTCTACCATCCTCCACGTACGTAGTTGCATGCATGCCTTTCACCATTCCAAGTTATCAAGGAATATCATAGTTAGAGGAAGCATGCTCATGGATGTTGAAATGAGGATTATTCATCAATTGCTGCTGAGAAGGAGCTGCGGCTGCCGGTGACGGTGACGATCTGCTGCCACCTTGATCAAACGTTATAAATCCGGCCGCCGCGGCCGAAGTGCTAGAAGGAAGATGAGCGCCGTAATACTCCGTGAGATTGTTATCAACGCCGTTAACAACACTTCTATGGTGGTGGTGGTGGTGAGTCGTCGTCGTCATCATCAAGAACGGCGGCGGCCCTTTCAGTCTCGAGCCCGGCGCCGCCGTCGGGGGATTGGTAATGCTGGTGGCTGCTGCGGAGGAGCACTGTCGGGGTTGGGTCTGGTAGAAGACCTTGGAGACGACGAGCTCGCCGTCGTTCTCTTCCTGGCTGGAGCCGAGGTGGTATTGGTGCATCACCCAGTTGGTCTTCTCGGGCTTTTTTTGCTTGCCGTAGTTTGTGTAGAGGACGAGTATCTTCTTGTAACCTTTGGTCTTCCCTCCGACTTGCACCGCCCTTGTTTTCCCGGTCTTGTGCCACCGTGTCTCCCCGCCGCCGCCGCCGCTGCTGGCCCCGCCGCCTCCCGGGTCGTCGGAGTGGACCTTGCGCCGCTTTCGGGTGCCGGTGGTGTAGGCTTTGGAGGGACGGTGGAAGAAGTGCCGTACGACGCCGTCTTTGCTCACGCCTGCGGTTGCATGCATTCATGTCACCCAAATGTTGTAGCAAATTAATTCATGATGATTATATTTGAAGTGGGCTTTGAATCGTGTTATTTGCAAAATAAATAAATAAATATATATATATATATATAATTGGAATAATACTCGATTTAAACAATGTTGGAATTACAATATGAAAAAAAATTGAGTTTATTGTTTCATATATTTGTTAAAAAAAAAAAGAGAAGATCTTTGCTATACAAAATTTTTGTCCATCTATATTGATACTGAAAGCATATATATTATAATTCCTCATAATTTCACTTTTCTAGTATAGAAGCAATATGAAGCATTTCATTTTTTCCCCCTCAATAAAGTACTTTATGATAAAATCTCACTTTTTGTTATATAATTGAATCAATAAAAAAAATTCTTACTGTAGATAAATCACGTTCGCTTTACTTTTTTAAATGAACCCTTCATTGATATGTCCGTTGTTTGTATCCCACTATGGCACTATCTATATACTATGAAGAAAACAACTTCTGAGAAGTATCGATCAAATTGTACGCTTTAAACTTTACACTTCGACCATCATTAAGCTACCATACCGTTATAATATTTTTGATTTACCTTTGCATCGGTAACGCATTCCACGCCATAAAAAATGCATCTTTTATAGCTTCTATTCAAGAAGAGAAGTGCAAATTACAATGGAAATAGAGAAAGAAAATATCACATAGAAATATTTTATTTATAATTCCAAATCCTAGATATCTTTCTAAAATGATATAACAAATTTGCTTTCACTACATCAGCAGGCATTCTGATGTGCAGTGACTTGGAAGGAGAGATGTCCTTGTGGAGTTAGGATTAGGTGATATACGGGTTTTCTTCTAGGGTACGGAAACAGTTACTTGAATACCAATTTCCACAATTGCTCCAAAAGTTAGTTGGGAGGATGTATGGGGTATCTTTACCCAATGAAGGAAGACGAAGAGTATGGTTCACCCACTATTCTGGTGCGACCTAGACAGAATAACTTGAAAGCTAGCATCTCATTTTCGATTAAATTTACTTTTTTTTTTTATTTTTGATTTTAAGTGAACCTTAGTATTTGGAATGACTGGCGTACTTTTTGGAGTATGAGATATTCTTAGTGATCTTGTAGTTGGATGTATTTCGTTGAACTTCGATAAATCAGAATTATATTGTTGGTTGATTTTTTTTTTTATAAAAATTGATATATTGGTTTTGTTGTATAGAACAGGGATCTGAGATTTATCCATTAGAAGATAAATGCAATGTCATATCGTATAATTCATTATCCATAAAAATGTCATTTGAATAACTATGCTCCAAGAGTACTGCAACCTGCACCTATTACCATGCGACATTAATTATAGGACAATACCATCTATAGCCACTTGAGACCAAGGTAGGTCCTTTACACCACCTTGATCAAAATCTTCCAAGTATTGTAAAAAATTTTAAGAATTTTTTGTGGTCTCTATTCAATTTTTAATTGATGTATCATGCAATTAAATCTAATACAAAAATTCAAGCCACAACAAGTTTTGAAAGATCACTTACTGCAAATACATTAGAATCATATGAGCGATGAAATCATGAATTTTTTCGGTAGAATATTTTAAGAATGACATTGCTTATAATTCGCATGATCAATGTATTACAATCCCCCCAAGAATTTGAAAAAACATCGTAAAATTTACGTTCTACTTAAAAAAAATTAAGCTTTAGACCTACCTACCATAATTAGATGAATTTTCTGACTATGCCACGGTATATAACAGTATATAGTGATCCTTGAGATCAATTTTACACTCTTAGGTTAATGATTGTATGATCTTTAATTTGTGTGAGGGAGGTACGTACCTGGCAACTTTTGAGGGTGAGTGTAGCAGATCCCATTCTCTCCATCAATGGTAGGGATGAACTCATCGATGAGAGGGTGAAGCATACGAGCATCCGACTTCACTTTGCCTTCCAGATGCTCAAGCAGCTCCTGGTCCGTCGGATCGAACTTCACTCCCGCTGGCAACCCCGGCAGATCGTGGATCCGAGCCTACAGAAACTCAAACATCCCCCCCAAACTAACTAAACTTCTCCTTCTCTTCATATATATATATATTCATCATCATGTCACAGCTAGCTAGCTAGCTACAATATCGAATATGAAAAGAGACCTGGTTTTGGCATTTGATCTGGAAGCCACAAGAAGGGCAGCTCTTGGTGAAGCCATGGCGATGGTGATGTTGATGATCGCTGCTACTGGACTTGCTATGATTCGCCGGAGGAGGAGGAGAGCTGGTTTCGATGGTCTGGACATCGGTGCAGTCATTGCACCACGTCATGATGTTAAAACTTGTTATAGAGCAGCTTATGGCGCCATTTTTTCTCTCCTCTCTGCTTCCAGCTCTGATCCTGCTTCTCCTAGCTAGGAATAGAAGAAAGAGAGAGGGAAGAAAGAGTAAAGAAGAGAAGGAAGAGAAAAGTGAGACAAGGGTTGGAGGGAATAATTGTTCTAGGAAGGTAAAGAGAAAAAGCCAAGTGATGAGAGTTTGTCTCTTGTAAAAGCAATCTATGATTATTTTTTTTTTTTAGAAGATGATGGAGCAATTCTTTTCTTTTATTTTGTCTCTACTCCACATTTCTGGTTGAGGCACACACACGAGCCTGTGTATCTTTCTTGACAGAAACTTGGGAAATAAAAATTGAAGAATGACAAAATTAGCAGTGAAGAGGTACCTAGAAAATCCTTTCTTAAAAAAAGAAAAAAGAAAAAGAAAGATATATCTATTTGATGATGAGTTAACTTAAGTCGCTGAAATGTAGTAGTAGAGGAGAGTCGAAGGATGAGTGAGTGCCCAAAAAGGAAAGGAAAGAAAAGAAGAAAAGTAATTAAACAAGAAAGAACTAGGGTTTGCTTGGATCTTACGTTAAGGTTGTGTGCTGATGGGTGCATGGGAAGTGTACTATGTCACGGAAACTTGTAAGACAAAAAAAAGAGAGAGAGAGGGAGAGAGTAGTTTTGGTGTCTTTTTCGGCCGTGTCTAAAGGCACACACTTGTTTTACTCTTTCAACTTATAGGCACTTTGTATAATTCGTATATCATCAGAGGATGGCAAAGTCGAGTAACTCCCCTACTGCTAAATGGGTAGTAAATCCGAAAAGTGATTGTAACAGCGTCGTAAAATCGCTTGTGTTAAAATTTCGATGATGATTTGCAAGTAAATTGGGAAGAGGAAGTTCTGAAATCTCTGTTGTCTGTTTCTTTTATGGCAATGACACCGAATTATCATAAAAAAACATGTGTCCGAGTTTTAGTGACCAATTAGCAAAGATAAACCATGCTTTGCTAACGGCTATACTAAAGGAAACGATGTCACAACACTTAAAAACAAAGGAAGCAATAATGAAACCAAACGTCTAGTTTCTTACTTCATCATCTTCTTCCTCCTCCTCAAACAATCCGTAGCTGATTAGGATTCCTTTGCTCTGCAGTCCATTTCGGTCTGATACCTCCCCTCAAGTTGGCGATGAAAGTTCACTTGTATTCCCCAACTTGATTAATAACTCAGCAGTTCGAAATCGATCCAACCCCCAGGTGAACAAATCTGCAAGTCGGTTTGCAGTTCCAACATGTTGCAATTTTATCATGCCACTTTTTATTATTTCTCATGTAACATGCATATCAATTTCTATATGCTTGGTTCTCTCATGAAAGATGAGATTTTCTGCAATGTGAATTGTTGATTTGTTGTCAAAATAGGTATGGGCAAAGGTACTTGGACTGTTAACTCTCCAAGTAATCTTCCCAACCATTGAATCTGACAAACCAAGTGTGCAAGAGCCGTGTACTATACCTCTGAAGAAGACCTGGAGACAATTGTTTGTTTCTTTATCTTCCAAGTGAGAGGAGAAGTTCCCAGGAAAGAGCAGTAGTCAATTACATATCTTCTAGTATCAGGACAGCTTGCCAAGTCTGAGTCACTATAACCAATCAGTTTCAATTCTGCTTTGCTATTGAATTGAATTCATTGTCCTGGTGAGTTCTATAGGTACCTGAGTACTCTATAGGCCAGCTTGTAGATGTTCATTGCAAGGGTTCCTTTGATATTGGCATAACTGTTGGACTATAAAAGCTACATCTGGTCTAGTGATGGTTAAATAGTGTAATCTTACAATCAATCTTCGGTAACATTCTCTATCCAACAATATGGTTTTGTTTGCAACCAATTTCACCTTTGCATTCATTGGTGACTTACACCCTTTTGCTTCAAAGTATCTAGTATCTTTGAGTAACTTAGTACAATATTTCCTATGACACACACTTATCCCAACTTCATTCTTGGTAACCTCGAAACCGACGAAATACTTCAGTCGCCCTAGCATCTTCAGCTTGAACTCTTTACTTAGTGCTATCTACACTTGATCTACATCTTTCTACATACCCCAATAGTATAACTACATTACCATGTATCCATCTAGTGAATACTGAGTAGTCAGATGCAGACTACGCAAAACCAAGCTTCATCAAGTAACCTGTCAGCTTTGCAAACCACACTTCCTGAAAGCCTGTATTAGCCCATACAGTGAATTCTTAAGTCTGCAAGCCATATTTTGTCCATTTGAATTGGGCATTCTAACTCCTAATAGAATCTTCATGTACACCTCTTCTTCCAATTCTTCATGAGAAAAGGCATTTGATACATTCCAAAACCCAGTTCTTCACACTTGCCACTACTAAGAATGCCTTTACAGAATTGATTTTGGCCACTCAAGAGTAAGTGTCCAGAAAATCAATCCTATAGACACGTGTGAAGCCATCGGCCACAAGTCTGGCTTTGTGCCTGATAACGATGTAATTGCATGATTTTATACCCCTATTTCTTATCCATTTGCGGAGCATAGTTGTGTGTTTTGGCCTATTTTACGCCGGGTTGTGCTATTTTGTCCTATTTTAGGTCCCAGGCGTCGAAGGGGAGGCCAAGCGCGAGTTTCGGATCGTTTGGAAGTCGTTTGGTCGAGCCAGGGCCAAAACACGGGCAGGAGGCCCTCAGAACACGGCCGTGTTCCTGGCCGTGTTTTTACCGTCGAGACTTCCCACCATAGAGCTACACCAGCTAAAAAACACGGGCGGGGTCAACCAGAACACGGCCGCGTTTTGCACAGAACACGCCCGTGTTTTCCCAAGGCATGTGGCCGTGTTTTTATGCCGAATCCAGAACACGGGCGGGCTGGACCAGAACACGGCCGTGCTCTCGACCGTGTTCTGGCCAGTGATGCCCTTTTAGGCAGATTTCAGCCAAATTGAGAGGGGATTCAAGTTTTAGAGAGACAGAGCGATTCCTAGAGAGAGAAAGCGACGAACAAGAGTCTCCAAGTGCCCTAGCTTGATCTTCATCACCATTGGAGCTTGGCTTGAGCTTGGAGAAGTGCCGATCAACGTCCAGAAGCTGAATTTCATCCTTCACAGTATGGTTTCCGCATCTGATTCTGCTTTTGCTTCTTTCTCCATGGAGTAGTTCTCCCATTCATCTGGGTGTGGGAAACCCTAGATCTGTATGTTAGGATTGATTGTATGAACCCAAGTACTATTTCTATGATTTGATTATATTCGATTGAGGTTTGAATGATTGAATGGCATGAATCTTGATCAAATTCCTGTTGTTTCTGCTTTAACCTAGAATGAGAATATCTGCCTAGGTTGATAGAGCATCCTTAATTGAAGGTAGCGAATTGGTGACTTTAGTCGAGGAGCCGATTCGTTATTCTGTACCGAATTCCATTCGGTAGTGGAGGTTTGGTTCGTTAGGGCCTCAATCTGTTTACTCCGGTGGAGGTTAGTCGCCCGCTAGAGACTCAGATTGAGAGGGTCTGAAGACCTTTAGTCGAGACTTCAGACTGTTTGAGAACCTTCCGCAGTATAACTATCATAGAAATTGAACTTGGTAATTACAATCCGGCTTAACTGCAGACTAGGGGGAACCATATCCGGGTGACCTCTCTTCACCTAAAAACAACCGTTTAGTTGCTTTGCTTGCTTGTTAGTTTAGACCTTCACTAAAGTTTCATTGCTAGATAATACGAATTCGCTGAGTAGTCATCACATCTAGGACCCGGGTTGACATTGAAACCTAAACCCGCTATACTACGCTTTAGGAAGTGGTTACACTTGGCCATTTTCTAGAGTGACAGTAGGAGTGAGTCAAGTTTTTGGCGCCGTTGCCGGGGACGGCTAGGTTGTTGAAGAAAAGTGATTTCTGTTACTCTAGCATTTTCATTTTCGCATTGAGTTTTTGTTCTTTCCCACTTGTGCCTTCACGGGTTTGCATTGCTTGATTGTGTGCAGATAGTGCATGACCCGTAGCCAGTCGAGAGGTTTACTGCCGTTGGATCCAGAGATTGAACGCACCTGCAACCAACTTCGGAGACAACAGCGAGCTAGACTGGTTACGGTGGAGCACAGAGACGGCCAATTGAGCAGCGAATCCGAGGACGAGTACGAGATGGAGGGCGAAGACATCCCACAACCGGGGAATGCCCGACAGGCTCCCCCGGTGAATCAGCATCCACCACCACCGCCGGGTCCCACCTTGGAGTACTACTACACTCCACGGATTGCCGACATCCGCCCGGTCATCCTCTATCCGCCCATCCCAGCAAACAACCTCGAGATCAAGCCATGCTGGATTCAACTCATTACATCATCCATCCAGTTCCATGGTTTGAAGGATGAGGAAGCCCGGGCACACCTTTCCCGTTTTCTGCAGCTGACGAACGGGTTCAAGCTGAACGGTGTTCCGGATGACGCAATCCGCCTTCACCTCTTCCCCCATTCTCTGGCGGGGAATGCTAAGAGGTGGTTGGAGACCCAGCCCCCATTGTCCATCACTTCTTGGGACGATCTGGTAGACAAGTTCGTGCACAGGTACTATCCGGCATCGAAGACCACGGAGATTCAGCAGGAGATCACTCACTTCCGCCAAGAGCCAGATGAGTCCCTTCGTGATGCATGGGAGCGGTACATGGGATACTTCTGGCAGTGTCCCCATCATGGCTTCAGTGATTCTTTCACAGTGGGGAACTTCTACAGTGCCCTCACCCCAGACAGCCAGAGGGTGATCGAGTCTCTATGCCCAGGAGGGGATATCCTTACTAAGACTCCACCCGAGCTGAACCAGATGATCAGTACCTTGGCTGCCCGAGATCATTCTTGGGGGCAGAGCAGCAGAGGCAGACATTCCCTGGACCGTGGTGTGCATGCTATGGAGGCCAGATCCGGGTTAGAGCAGCAGGTGGCTGAGTTGGTGCAGACATTGAAGCAGCCTAACAGTCTCCTTCCGGGCCGAGGTGTAGCTCCGCCTCCAGTAGCTCAGTGTCAGTGGTGTGAGAGCCCGAACCACCTGGTGGAAGATTGTCAGTCTATGAGGGAGTCCTCTACTCCCCAAGAGCAGGTGGACTTCATCGCCAATGCTCGGCGCCTTGACCCATACAGCAACACCTACAATGAGG